TCCAAATCCAGTAAATGTGTGAGGTTTCATAAATCAGAAAGACAGCAGGAATCTTTTGAGCAGTAAAGGAAAGAAGAAAGCAGACAACTTTCAGAAAAGGAGTCCGGAAATTTTCAGCCCGTGTAGGAGCTGAAAGGACCAAAACCTTCCCTCTGGTCATTCAAAGTGAAAATACTCCTGAAGTCTCAAGGAATCATCTTTGTGCTAGACAAGGAGATACCCACAAGCTAGGAACAAAGAGCCTGGGATACTATCTGGCACTGAGTGGCTCGGTTCTTCTGCATTTAAGGGATTTAGATCATGCCAAAGAAATTTGGAAATTTTTCTCAGACTCATAGAAGAAAAGATCCACAGTCTCCAAAGTGCTTTTCAGAAAGCTATGAAACAAGTGTCTGGAGGAGCTCATTATATATAAATCAAATAATAGATATTGCAAGTCAGCTTAAAAGGGAAAAAAACATGCCTATAATGGAAGAACTGTTGGTTTCTGTCATTTTAAATCCATTGCCTAGAAGGTAACATGCTGTGGTACATGCAGTAGAAATGAAAAAGGAAGCAGATATTAATTTTATAGTCAGTAGCTTGCAAAACTATAATCTGCATAACTATCATGAGCAAGATGCAGTTCTCAGGCAAGAATCTGGTTGTAAGACCAGGAGAAAAGAAAAGGATTCTTCATTTGCAGTGGTTTAGGTCACTTGCAACTCAGTTGGATTAAGAAAGGGAGATGTTAGACTGCATTCCATGATTCACTTCAGTCCTGTGTAAAAAGCCAAAAGCATCAGAAAACAAAATAGCATCTGTTTTGTTCCTGCAACAATTTCTAGTTCCATTCAAGAGGAAAAGTGATTCACTGAATTAAATGAGTATACATCTTCCATTTATTTGGCAAACTGGACAAACAATTCCCCACAGTCTGGAGAGGCTGTGTAATATTCTGTTGTGGATTAGGTGAAGCCGAGGGAGTTCATTAACCATAAGCGACCAGTAGGGTTTACTGTGTGTCTCCTCTCTCTAGCCTTCTGCCTGCTCTTTGTTTCAGAAATTGCTAATCTCGGGTCACTTCCTTCTACCTTTCTTCCCAGGACTTTGTAAATGGAGCACATGGATATAGCTACCTAACTGCTAGGTTAATGTATTTTCTGTAAATAAATCTTTATGTTATAGTTATAAAACCTCCTTCACTAGTTCCTAGGTTATATTCCTTCTCTCAGAGAATACTTACATATGTACATAGATCTCTTTAACCTCCAACACTGCTTTATATTTGCAGCAGCATGTTTAAATGCCTACCTACCTGCTGGGTAAATAAATTACTGTTTTGATTATGTTTTAATGATTTATATGAGAAATCTAGAATTCATGGGTGTTTCATGCTCTGTCTTCTTTTGAAAGCAGGTAAAGAAATGAAAAAGAAGCATGAAAGGCAAAGGGATAAGTGTACATGTGTGCACACAGGCATGTACCGTGATGCTTCATCCAGAAATGTTGCTAATGTTGCTGAGTTTATAAATGTTGAATGCAAAGACCTGTACTTTGTTGAAGATTTGGGTTGATTTGCTAAGCATTGGGATTTGTGCATGTTATTGTGTCCTGTTCAGAATGCTTTTTAAACTGCAAAGATTTCTGTGATGGTTTGGGTTGTTTTGCTTAGCTTTTTGTGTTCTTGTGCCCTGTTATGTTGAGCCTCAGAGTACAGTTAAATGCAGTTTTTATCTGATTTGTAGCAATCTTAGCTATATATGCTATGTACTGTTAGTATTATTAAGAATAAAAAGCAGTACTTTTGTGGCAACTTTTTGTATCTTTTTTCTGGACTTGGGCCTGTGATACAGGAGGGCAGCTAAAACAATCAGAAGAAAACGTGTTGCACTTGCTAAAAAGGTGAGGTAGAGTTGAAAATATTAATATAAAACCCCATAAAGGATTAAAAAATAATTCACTTGACTACTTTTTATGCAGGTTGGGTGGCAGGCAGTAGTCATCATAGACTACTATACTATATACTCTTGTGGATTTTTGAAAATGAAAATCAAAGGAGCAGGGGGTTTGTTCTGAGTTCCCATTGATTCCTATGACCAGAACACTTAAGTTGTTCAATTTTGTATACTGAAGTTGTTTTAAGGTTTCTTTCACTGGAATACACCCAACTGGAAATGTTCTGATGGAATATTCAGGAGAGGGTCTTTTGTTCTACTCTTGAAAGAAATTGTTTCCCATTCCATGGATATCTGAACTGCAAAGGGGGATTTTTCTAAAAGGGAAT